ATTCAGTTTGGAGTTCAGGAGATTGTCTTGAGCAGGACCACACCCCTAAACGCATTGAAGCAACTGCCATGTGATTGGTTGATATAACTGCTCAAAGCTGACCATTGAATCCTTACACACTACACCAAAAAAGTGTCATTTCTTTGAACAAATAACACTCAACGAAAGGAATAATTTCTCCCAAAAGAGAGTTTGGAGCATTTATTAAAAACTGTGTACAAAAAAAAAAAACTGCATACAAACATACACCAATGTGAATACAAGCAAGCAAGACCCCAGAAGAAAGAGTCACGTCTATGTACAGATCTAATCCTCGTCCTGTTCAGCAAACACTGTATAGCGCCATGGTTTGACTTCACTGCACAACAACTGTTAATGATTGTCCTAAAATGAATGAACGCCCACTCTGAACACATGCATAGATCAGGAAGACAGTCTGGGCTTTGAATGGCCTTCAAGTTTCTATATACAAAAAGACAAAATGCTACTAAGAGACCAAACTTTGCATTTGCATGATTTCTTATTGCCACTATTAAACACAGAATTGTTCAAAGCTTATCAGGAGTGAACGTTTGACTTGCTCTCGCAGGGGAAAAAAGATCAAGAAAAAAGAAAAAAGCAGCAAGATCTCTTCAAGATCAAGGAATAAAAAAGTAAATCTTGCTTAGACAAATGAATATATACATACACACACGTACATTCAAGCTTCTAGAAATCAATCGCATTTACGTAACATTACAAATGACAGCCTAGACTAGAATAAAGTGCATTATTGCCCAGAAACACTTTGCCAGAAACGGTCTTCTCGTCTTGAGGCAGCAGGCGTTGTGGAGAGGTCGTCATCTTCATCTTAAAATTACATCAGACATTCCAATCAGAAGTCACAGTTCCCAACACGAACCCTGATTCGCCGGTTGAGCTCCTCCCCTGCCAGCAAGCAAGGAAAAGCAGGTCTCTCATTGGTTCATTCAGAAAGGAGGCGATTGGTCGAGAGGTTTGGTGGATGGACGGCAGCTCTAAGCGGTTCCTCACGCTGTCATCTTCATTCGTCCTGTGAACAAAGAAGAAAAGGGTGGGAATTACAGTACATACACAATCATGATGACTAATTCATGAAGATTTTACAGTTACAGAGCTAATACAGCACAATGTTGCAATAGAAACCACACAACAGAGGAATCATCTTCCATTTAGATGTCAACGTCGGCACACTGTTTTTATCATTTTGAGGACTACAAAGCTCGATTTAGGCTACAAAGCAGGATTTAGTTTTTGTTACTCATTATTACTCAAGAGACTGAATCGCCCTTTGGGGATTAATAAAGCTATCTGTATCTGTAAGAGACGCACACGCTCTGTTGATGAACCTAGTAAGGAGCATCATCCCTACATTATGCATTGCATGTAGCCTTTACAGAGGATCCAAGATTGTGGGAAAAACGAGAGAAATGTTGACAAGAGAGTAAACGTTATTCATTAAATGTGTTCAGATTTAAAGGAGTAGTTCACTTTTAAAAAAACTTTTGCTGATAATTTACTCACCCCCATGTCATCCAAGATGTCCATGTCTTTCTTTCTTCACTTTGCTGAGCACCAAATGGTCCAAAAGACAGTTTCAGTGCAAAAAAAAAATCTCCTGTTTAAACTCTTTTTTCGTGTCATTTGGTTCATTCGACGAACGAAATGAACGAATTGTCTCGGGAAAAGATTCGTTCATCTTGTTCGAACAGGAGAGTCATGAACGCGCATCACAGAACAGAGCAAGGCGAGCATTTGAGCTTATAAAACTTAAAATGTAGTTATTTATTTATTAAATGGGCGATCGTTTCGCTAGATAAGACCCTTATTCATCGTCTGGTGTCGTTTAAAGTCCTTTGAACAGTTTGCAATGAAACTGTCTTTTGGACCTTGAACCGTCCATTATATGGAGAAAAATCCTGGAATGTTTTCATCAAAAACCTTCATTTCTTTTCGACTGAAGAAAGAAAGACGTGGACATCTTGGATGATATGGGGGTGAGTAAATTATCAGTTACAAGTTTTTTCAAAAGTGAACTACTCCTTTAAGGCCTGTCCAGATCAAGCGTGCCGCACAAGCCCTCAAGAGTGAAGCCAAAACGTCTCGATCGCCCCCCTGTGGCCGGTCCTAGTATAGGTCATAAACCCCGCCTCCCCATGATATTCAATGGACGTGAGACCATTACACTTCACATATCCTTTATCCAAAGATAGTTTCTGCCATTTACTGTAGTTTCTATCACGTTGATGTAATTTCAATAGTTTGTTTTTAAAATAAGTTTGTTTTTAGTTAGTTAAGCGATGCTATAAAAATGGTGCCGTGACATCATGATTGACAGGTTCTCTGTGTGAAGTAGTCACTGAAGCACCAACAGACTTTTTTTCATAATGTTGGCTATGTGGTTAGTAGTTGTATTTATTTACCTTATTTTAACGAGGTACTGCAATCAGCAGACATCATTGGAGAAGAACGGAGCAGACAGAGGCCACTTAATGAAAGTGCGGGACGTGTTTGCGTTTGATTCAGCGAGAATGAGGGCGTGACCTTGATTTTGTGGCTTTACTTCCTGCTCACGACTGCGCATGTCTGGTCCCGAATACGCAAGTGCGCAAACTCAAGTCTCAAGATGTCAGCGCCATTTTGGGACATTGGCGGCTTCAGTTTTCTCTGATGGAAAAGAGCGAAGGGGCGTCGTCCATCTTTTTTTACAGTCTATGGATTTGAATTAATGCATCTGTTCAGATCGACACAAACGTTAGCATGTGGTCATTGCAACAGGTTTTTTTTTCTAATCTTTTTCATCGCACTGCAAAATAAACTGGCCAACCATATGTGTAGTGAGATGGAAATGAGATTCCTTTGTATTGCTGTACATCAAGTTAGCTCACTTTGTCTTTGGAACAGAGCCACTGTAATCAGTACTGAACATTTCTGTGACTCTTCATGATAACAATGAAATCACATTTGTCACAAAACATTTTTTGTTATCCTTTTTACCACCACAGGGCAGCCCAGCCAACCAAAAGCAGAACTGGAGGTGAAGACATAAAGAAAAACAACCACCAAACTCTTTTTCGCCACTCTCTTACTCACGCACATAAAAATGAACAAAGACAAACAGTGAATACAGTGCACAACTCCCAAAAACACAAGACAACAGGACAAAAACAGTAAGCTTGTACAAGACCAAACAAAACAAAACAAGAAAAGACAAATTCACACACACACACAAAGCTTCCTGGGGTTAAAGGCGCTGTGTTAGATGGGTGGGCATTGACGAGGTGACACGTGGGGCACCATGCCATGCTGAGCGTTTCATGCCAAGCGACCAACCACATAAAACCCCACCTACCTGCCCACCGTCCCCAACCAATGGGCTGCTCCTGTCTACCTGACTATCTGGAAACCAACCAATTACAGCGTCACAATGCAAAGAACAAACGTCCCTTTCACATAGTGTGACCTGTACTAAACGTTCATCAAGGCTGCTGTTATGACATTATTGTATTATTATTATATCAGATTATTTGCAAAAAGTTCCATCAGAATCTTATGTAAGGTGGTGTGTTTGTCATCAGGTGACCATGAGGCTTTAGAGTGAGTGTGTGTCGGCTCACCTGCGGACAGCTGACTGTGGGACCGGCGTCGGGTGGTGGGGGTTTTAGAAGTGGAGGAGAGGGTTGAACCTGCGCTGCTGGCCCTTGAGATGGGGAGGGGCACGGGGGTCACGGGAGGAGAGTCCAGCTACGGCAGGAAAACAGACATTATTATGAGATGTTGGCCTGCATTTCTAAGGCCCTATGAAATTTAAATCACAAATTATAATAAAATTCATTTGAATTTTTCTGGATTCCGTTTTAATGGACAAATAACATTTTAGTAATCAAAAATACATGTTTATAAAAATGTATTAAACATTTTATCAAACGTCAAAAGATCGCGTATTAATTTTTTTTACAATAATAAGGCCCTATAAAATGTTTTATTTTTTCATAAATTCTCTGTTGTTTTCAGTTTTAGGATTAATGATGGTAATCAAATGAAGGCAAAACAATTTACAATTAACCATTTAACCCTCTGGGGTTGTTCGGCCCAAATGGACCCGAAGAATTTAAATACATTTAAAAAAATTTTTTTTTTTAAATCACGGTTTCCTCGGATTGGTCCGAAATTTGGTGTCTTTGTTGGTATTTGGTATTTGAACACCCAACAAAATTGGGGACAGGATGTGAATAGTCTAAGTGGTTGTAAAAAAAAATAGTCACACTTGGGGTGTTCGGGTCCAAATGGACCCGCATGGAAAATGAATGGGAAATTGGCAAAAATGTGAAAATAGTGAGTTTTTTTGTGTATACAATCTACAAATCAGCCACGATCTTGAAAAAAAAGCACACAACAGTGAAGGGGTGAATCTATAAAACATCAAGAGTGCAAAACAGACACATCCAGACACACACAAACACACTTTTATACACAAACACACCAAAAAAAATCAGATTATACATGTGTTATGCATTTTTAAAATGTTCAGTTTCTCCACCAGATGGCATCCATCTCATTTCAAAAATTGCTTTTATGAGGCCTAGGCTTGACTCTAAAATGAAATACAGCTTTAAAAAAAATAATTTTTTCTATTATGTTCAATGGGGGGAAATTTTGTCATAATTATTGCATTAATACTAATTATAATTTTTTTTTTTTTTTGAAATTTTCTCGAAACACCAAAAAAGAAAAGAAAAAATATTATAAACACCCGAAAATAGACGCGAACACCCAGAGTGTGACTCTGAAACGAACAACCCCAGAGGGTTAAGTAATATTTTAAATGTAACCAATTTCCTTTTATTTCTTGGCAAACAAATCTGCTCAACAGAGGTTTACTGTTATCACAGTGTGCTATTATCTTCAACTACTTTAGACAAACAAAAGACTGGGTTTGGATTGGGTTGCCTTTGTGCCTTTGTTCCTACACAAATCCATTTTTAAATGTAAACCGGAGAGGAGGGAAAGTGGAACAGAGGGTGTATTGTGGCCCACCGCAGTAGCTCCAGAGGAAAAGTTGTGGGTGAAGGATTGAGACCTTTCATTCAGACCTCAGAGATGTTTTTCCAGACATTGCCATGTGAGAATGTGTGTAGTTGTGATTGTGTACCTCCACGCTGTCATGAGTTGGTGAGGAGGATGTCGAGGAGTTCTCTGCTTGGCGGCGCGAGGAAGACGAGGGGCCGATCTCAACAGTCCGAACGCGCTGAGCAAACTTCAGAGAGCACACGGACTCACTGATGTTACTCTCCAGAGGAGACACCTGAGACACAGAGAGGAACATCGCAGTTTAACTGGTGTGAGAACGTGAAACCACAGGCTAATCGAACATGACAACAAAGTGTTTCACTTAGTTATTGAACGTTGGCTGTATGTACCTGCATTGTGTACAGTGAGCTATGATATCATCATTTTCCCTGTCCATGTGGCTCTGGTTTCATCGGCAGTTTGTTAATAAATAAAAATGTTAATAAATAACATTTTTATTTATTAAAAACATTTTTATTTATTATTTTGTTGATAAATAAATAAAATTGATCTTATGACGTCAACAGCTTTAGGTAGAAAGTCCTGTATTGTCATCTAGTAATTACGACTACTAGGGCTGTCAAACGATTAATCGTGATAAATCGCAAACAAAATAAAAGTTTGTTTACATAATATATGTGGATGCACTGTGTATAATTATTTTGTATATTTAAGATAAAAATATTATTTATATATATATATATATAAACTATTTATATATAATATAAATTATATATAAATCTATATACATTATATACATGAAAATATTTCTTAAATATATACAAGCATGTGTGTGTATTTATATATATAAATAAAAATGTGAATTCAATTTATTAGCCTTGCTTTCTGATTATTAAAATGTAATGGAATCCAGAAAATGTGGAATTTGTGAAACTATGAAACTTCTTGTTAAATTGTATAAGTTTCATGATTTTAATTAATTAGACATGCTTTTGGAGTACTAATATTTAATTTAACCATTAAAATAGAATTAACCAGAAACATTTTAATTCAAAACTCATGGGGGGATTTAAAACTCAAAAGGGAAAATTGGAAACTTTGTGGGGGGACGGGACGGATTTCACAGGGCCCGAAAATGTAACTTTTAATACATTTTTATAATTTTTTTTTTATTTGCCATTTTATTTGGCCATTAAAACAGAATCCAGAAAAATTCAAATGAATTTGATTATTAATTTGTGATTTAAATTTATGTGGGTGCACTGTGTATAATTATTTTGTATATATATATATATAAAATACACACATGCATGTATATTTAAAAAAAATATTATTTATATATAAAATATTTATATAGAATATAAATTATATATAAATCTATATACATGAAAATATTTCTTAAATATATACAAGCATGTGTGTGTATTTATATATATAAAATAATTCTACACAGTGCACCCACATATATTATGTAAACACAAACTTTTATTTTGGATGTGATTATTCGTTTGACATCCCAAATTAGGACATGGTGCGAACAGGCAGCATAACATCCACTGGAAAATGATACACAAAATGAAACTGTCGTCTTAACTACAACAGACTTTATGATTCCATTAGTCCATGACAAAGTTCTCTTTCTGTGGCGATTAGCTAGCATAAAACAACAGGAGAGTGTGTGCACAAAACAGCTTAGGATACTGTGCCTGCTCATGCAGTACAAAGCACAGTCTTTATCCCATAAATCCAATAATCCACTGGAAATGTGTGGAGATTTAGAGCACACTGAGTGCCATTGTAACCCTGCTGACGTGACACACACCTGCACCATCATGAGGGTCTTGCTGTCTCCGCTGAGCGAGTCCTGCAGAAGGTACGTGAGGCGGGAGTTCCTGAAGGGCACGTGCGAGTGTTTGGAGCGCAGGGCGTTGATGACATCACCCAGCGCCGACAGTGATTTGTTGATACACTGAGCCTCACGCAGACGACTGCCCTCGGCGCCGGATTTGGCAATCCGTTCTGAACCGGCCAGATCCACCAGATTCAGCTTACCTGCAATTGACAAGTGACCGTTTCATATTTGCATTTCAATTGAACTGTGTTGAAAACTATTGAAGAGGACTGTGTGTACCTGAGGTGCGGTGGCCCGTTGAAGAGTTGAAACCCGCCACTGTGACGATAAGGAGGGCATGAGAGCGAGAGCTGTGCTCGTTTAGATTAGTGCATGCTGTTGCCCTGTTCATGTGACCCAGGTCAAACACCTGCAGGGTCAAAGGTCATAACGGATTAGGCTAAAATGGGTTGACGCTTGTCTATACGGCAAGACTCTCGTGAGGTGGATTCTCTCACACAACTAGCTTCACTTTTCTAGCAATTTTTGTAGTTATTAGTAATAAAACTGTAAAAACATTGGTAACACTTTTTAATTGTCCTTGTTGCATGTTCTTAGAGTACTATAGTAATAACAGTAAATTATGCTTTTATATTTATATTAGAGGGGTCATGAACTGGCTTTTTAAATTTTATTATATTGTTCTCTGAGGTCAACTTATGACGTTCGCTTTGTTTTTACATTCAAAAACATCAAAATGAATAAGTAATAGGCTATTTTCTACCCTAGTTTTAAGCCTAGCTGAAAAACGCTGGGTTTTTATGGGCGCCTCGCACTGAAGACTTGGAAGTAAACACCCACTGCTGTGAGTGGATAACAGTTTTGCATATTATAATGAGTTTCAACTCACTCGTCGGTGCACGTGGGGGAAATTTTGCCCATACCGGAATGATTTGCCCATATATGTTCGACCCAGAGACTGTGTTGCACAATTCCTGTGGGATCCCATTTAGATGGCACAGCACCGTTTTTTTAATCTTAATCGTCTGCAAATCCAGTCTCAACCAGTGTCTTGTTTACAAAACAATCCTCAGTGAAATGAAGCGAACAAACGGACAATGTTTCACCCACATCAGCTGGAACATCATTGATAATAAAGTATAACCATGTATTCCTACTGAAATCATACTATTCTTATAATATGATGACCTCTTAGATGTCAAAAGCTCAAGGAAAATTTAATTTCTCAGTTCATCTCCCCTTTAAGTATATTTTTACAGTTTTCAGAGCAGAGCAACTATGGACTAGCTGACAAAACTACGGAGGCGTATTGCATTCACTAGAAGAAAAAAAATCTACTCTGTTTTTCTGAATTAACGAGTTAATTTTTCATGGGTTTTTTTTTTGCTCTGTTTTTCTGAATTAATGAGTTAATTTTTCATGAGAAAAAAAATATTTTGCTCTGTTTTTCTGAATCAACGAGTTAATTTTTCATGGAATTTCTTTTTTGCTCTGTTTTTCTGAATTAACTCGTTAATTCAGAAAAACAGAGCAAATTTTTTTTTTCTCATGAAAAATTAACTCATTAATTCAGAAAAACAGAGCAAAATATTTTTTTTCTCATGAAAAATTAACTCATTAATTCAGAAAACAGAGCAAAAAAAAATTTCTCATGAAAAATTAACTCGTTAATTCAGAAAAACAGAGCAATTTTTTTTTCTCATGAAAAATTAACTCATTAATTCAGAAAAACAGAGCAAAAACTTTTTTTCTCATGAAAAATTAACTCATTAATTCAGAAAAACAGAGCAAAAAAAAATTCAAACAGAGCAAAAACTTTTTTTCTCATGAAGAATTAACTCATTAATTCAGAAAAACAGAGCAAAAAAAAAACTTCTCATGAAAAATTAACTCGTTAATTCAGAAAAACAGAGCAAAAAAAAATTCTCATGAAAAATTAACTCATTAATTCAGAAAAACAGAGCAAATTTTTTTTCTCATGAAAAAATAATTTGTTAATTCAGAAAAACAGATTTTTTTTTCTTCAAGTGAATGCAATACGCCTCCGTACAAAACTGACAAACTGGCATTACAAGCATATTTTTCCTAGCTTGAAAAGTATGCATGTGCTACCTTTTCCTTGAAAAAATTATAATATTTTGGGTCTCACTTTATATTTAACGACTATGTCCTAACATTTGAATTGATCAGTTGATGCATTGTTTTTACATTGTACTTATATTTAAAAATAACCTGCAGGTAATTACAGCTGTAATTAATGTAATCACATCTACAATTACGCTTCTCTTCCCTTTTAACCCACCCTTAGACTTCACCTACAAGTGTTTTATAATACAAACTGAACGCAAAGTACATTGAACCTAATTTTGTTATCTAATGTTATATTCCTTTGGACTAAATCCGGTTCTCGTGACCACAGGCGGTTTGGATGCTGTGAGCTTTCACCTTGTTGATGTCCTCCACGCTCTCCACTGTGAACTCTGTGAGTCCTGGCACATACAGCTGTCCACTGCCGTCTGGACACATCTTTATATCCAGCTTCTCATTGGGACTGTCACCCAACAGGTTTCTAAAAGATAAATGCAAATGAATAAAACCAAACCAGCTGCTGTATTAGGAAGCATTGCAGAAGTCAACAACAATCTGTTGGAAGTTGCAAAGTTTGAAACTGCTTCTTAAACAAGAACAATTTGATTCAGTCCATTGGGAATTGATTGGATGGTTGTGGTTTGCTATTAGTTGATCTCAGGTGAGTGACGGGTTTTCCAAGAAGAAAAGATGTCAATGCAAGAGGTAGGGGGAGCCATTTTGTTTAAAGATTACTTGTGTATATGAATTTGGGGCAGAGATTAATATTATAGAGGCAAGCAGAATCCGAACCTACACACATCTGTCCGAGTTACGTAACCCAGCAGGAGGGGAACAGTGAGGTACAAACAGACAGGACCAGCAGAACTGAATGCGTGATCTGTCATCTGTTTATGTCTTACAGATGGCCTGAGAGATTTGAAATCTAATCTGTTTTTACATAACTGTTGGCACACACACACACACACACTTCACAGTGACAATTATATAAGAGTGCTGAATATGCTGATCTAGAGAACCTTTGATAATCATCAAATTCAACCTCCTACTTCCACTGTGTGGTTCTCTCACCGAAGCGTCTCATTGTAGATTTCCACCATGCTGACAGTGATCTTATAGTCCCAGTCAGGCTTTTTCTCAGACACTTCAGAGAAGAGCAGCCGCAGAGCACGCTGGTTAATGCCAGGGTCCTCAGGGACCCCCTAGAGGACAAACAGAGACATGAAGTAAGTCCTAAAATTTGCAAACTTGATATGAACTGCACTGTATGTGTCTACTACAGAGATCACAGTCAGTGCGGTCAACATACCTCCATAGTGTAGGTCTTTCCAGAGCCGGTTTGCCCATAAGCAAAGATGCATATGTTAAAGCCATCAATACAGGAAGTGACCAGAGACTGCACTTCCTGGAACACCTGTCCAATCACAAGAGAAGGGACTGTATAATAACCGATACAGGAAATACAACCATATGAGAAACAATGAGTTCAGGCACTAACCTCCTCCTGCGTGGCCTGAGTGGGAAAGACTTTGTCAAGTTCAAAGGTCATGAGCTTGCCCTTATTGGATAAGTAGAGAACAGCATCATCATCAGGGTCAAAGGTCACTAGGTTTTTGGTGTCAGCAGCATCTGTTTCTCCAGCACACACGGGGCGTACGCGACACAACACACGGATGTTTCCTGAAAAACAAGATGATCGAGTCTTCCTAATTAGAATGTAAATATCTAATTTCATTAAGAGTAATTCGATATTTTGCGGAGATGATGCATCCCAGACACGATTCCCAGGTCTCACCTTTGAGGCGCACCAGTTCATTGTGGCATTTCTTCCTCAGGTTCATCTCCCGCTTGTATTTCCGCAGCAGTTCTTGGTTTGCACTGCTCACCTCTCCAATCACCTGACAGATCTGTAAATCACACACAAAGCACAACTCTTAATGAGAGGCAACGAAGACACAAAGAAATAAAACGCCATCATGCTTTAAAAAAATGACGGGTGATGGGCACAGAATGGTGACAAAACTCAGAAAGATTTACAATTACACATTCACCACATGTGTAGCGTGCAAATTCGAAGATTTTTGTGTGTGGAGGTTTAATACGCTAAAACCGTATTCTGGACAAATGTGGGCAAAATAGTTTTGATTTATTTAAAAAAAAAATACTTCCCTTGATCTGAGCGGTACAAGACTTGCCTCCTGAACACACACATTTTTTTTTTTTGACTAAATTCTACAATCTTAAGTGGGTGAAAAAAAAAAACCTCAATCTTGTATTTTGGTCAAAAATGGGCACCCATAGAAATGAATGGGAAAAACTGTTTAGAGCACTCTAAAATAAGCCAAAATAAGACACCAGGTGACAGCAAAGTCACTTCATCTTTAGGTTTTAGCTCTAAGAACTTATTGGAATGATATTTTAAATGTAGTTAAAAAAAAAACAAAACATAAAAATAAGCATAATTTATATAGAAAATATGGTACTTTTTGAAGTAAATAAATTCAAAAATACCCCCAAAATAAAAAAAAACCACCATAAATGTATAGACAAAACTTTATCGAAGACAGTGATATAACATTTATAATAAATAAAAATTAGGATCACACCTGAGTCCTCCGTGCCCACATTTGTCCACAATTACAGGATTAAGGGCTTTAAAGTGAATACGGTTTGAGGGCTACAGAGAAAACGCATAATGGCTAGTAACTTTTGGAAAACTACTCGCCAGTGGCTAGTGAGCAAAAAGTCAAGCCTTGATCATATCCCTTTTTATGGTTTAATTTTTGTATTTTTTATTATATTAAACATAATTTGTTTGTATCTGCTGTTTTGACCAAAATTAAAATGACAGTGTTATGCTCTACCAACACAGGCGTCGTGTTTTGTTTATGTTTGGGAGGCTGCTTCTCATAGCACTCTCTTGCCATGTCCTCTTATTATATGCATTTTTGGGCATGTTGTTTGCTTTTGCCTCATTAAGAGTTCAATTTATGGAGTTATTAATGTGGCTGTTGGGGTTCGCAATAAATTGTTTTTTATTTTCAATATAAAGCTTTTGAATTTATTTCTGATCATTATGTTTTTTCTATCATGATCTGGCAACATGAATGAGTCGAGGCCTTATTCCCCTGTGATTTTATTGTACCGCACATACAGATGAGAGACACATGCCCAATGCACATTTAAATACAGCATTACAAGTTCGGGTCCGTACACACTGCATAGAATTCCTGTGAATGCGGTTGTCACTCCTCGTAAATGACTGTACTGTGTGTGTGTGTGTATAGAACATGATTAAGCACTAAAAGGTAAAATGATAACTGAATTTAGCTACAGTGTGTTTGAGCTGTGGTGTTTCTGTGTGCGGTGGTCTCACCTCCTGCTTGGCCTCAGTGATGGCTTTCTCCAGCATGTAAGGGAAGTCCTGCACCTGTCTCTTCAGACAGTTGTAATCACAGGTGAGGGTTCTCAGGGCCGGCTGCAGGGTCAGGAGGTTCATCCGCACACCTGCACACACAGACCATTAGAACCAGTTCATGTTTCCCACAAGATCAAAAGACAAACAGCAAACTTTATCGAATGAAATGATACACTTAAAGGAGAACTCTGGCGCAAAATGAACCTTTGGTCTAATAAAACATCGGGACCTAGTCAACCGTTCTCTAAGATTTGTTTTTTAAGAAGATATTTTATAAAGACGGTTCACTTCGTGTATACAGACAGGAGCAATCTTTGGAAAACAGACTTGATAAGTCAAACCATGAACGCCGTCCATACAGTTCAGAAGTTCACTGAACTTCATACAGTTCAGCTGACTAGGCACGTCGTTCGTGGTTCGACTTGTCATGACTGTTTTCCAAGATGGCTCCTGTCTGTATACAGGAAGTGAACCGTCTTTATAAAATATTTTCTTATTAAACGGTCTGTTCACTTACAAAGTTCTCAATGCTTCGTTTTGCATGTATGGACCCTCATTATGTTTCTGTGTTAGTGTGGGGCTATTTTGAGCCTTGTTAGTGGTATAAAGTAGCGATTTCTTTTTACTTAGTAAATGCCCCCATATACTAGCGACATACGCTAAACAGTTTTTAGAGATAAAACTCTTTACATTCGATTATCATGAAAACAAATCTCAGAGAACAGTTGACTAGGTACCAATATTTTATTAGACCAAAGGTTCATTTTGCGAAGGAGTTCTCCTTTAACAATAAGGTCTCACTTGTTACCATTAGTTTAAAGTATTAACAAATGAAACCTTATTGTAAAGTGTTACCAATGTAATATATGAAAATGATATAAAAACTCTATTTTTTGCATTGTGATATTATAATTTGTATTTTTTGTGTGTCAGCTTTGTTTATCATTTCCAATATCCTCAAACAGTGATTCTGATTAAAGCGAAGAATCAATAAGGTTTACTCCAAATGAGCGCACATTTTTTGACTAAAAGCCCTAAAAGTCTCCGTCTGATGAGTCCAAAAGACAAGACACATTATCAAGATTACATAAAGATCAATTACTTAGCAATAAAAAACTGTATATGTATACTATACAAGTCTTTAAACATACTACAGTAATAACATGTCTGACAAAATATGATTTTGATGTAATTACATTTTTAATAGGCCTATACATATTTTAGTTTAAATATATTTTTGGTTAAACTTTATTTTAAGGTGTCCTTGGTCCACAAATAAGTACTGAAAAATAATAATTAAAAACATGTACTGACAACATGTAGATTTAAGTACATGTAATGCGTAACAAGCGTTCCCTATTTTTTGGACTGAGGCAGATTTTTCATGAAAATAATATCACAATGCGAGACATCTTAAAAGATCCTAATGGGACAATATAATTACTAATTTCTTTTTTTGATTTGAAGGTGAAACAGCCTGTAATTAACATGTTTTGTGAGCTTCACTGAAACACACACAGTCTCACCTGCTAGGTTCTCATGGACGGCCTTCATCTCACTCTCCGCTCTGATGAAAGCATCTTCGATCACTCTGTTCTTCTCCTCCTCCAGACTCGCCATCTCTGCCTCCAGCTGGCCCTGAGCTCTCTCCATCTCACCCTCATACACCAGGATCTAACACACATACACACACACTGCTGTCAACACATCTGACCCTGAGGTCAACACTGAGGTCATAAGCTCTATTTAAACGGTGAATGTTTTACACAAGGACTTTACATGTACGGTAATTTACACCATAAAGGGATAGTTCACCCTAAAATGAAGTCATCATTGACTCACCCTGGTGTTGTTCTAATCCCATAATATCTGTCTTTTATGGACCATAAAAGGAGATTTTTTAACAAAACAATGTTCATATAAAGGTAGGGCCTAGCAACCAGCAACAAGTTTTTTTTAAAAAAGACGCAAAAGTTTCACAGAATGATCCCATGTGACGTGCAGGATATTCCAAGTGTTCAGTGGTGTTAATCTTGATTTATCACAACTTGTGTGCTTTCTCTGGGTGAGACAGAGTGAACTACTAAAATCTCCTTTTGAGATCCATAAAAGAAAGGATGACATACAGCATTAGAACAACACCAGGGTGAGTAAATGACTTTCACTTTAGGGTGAACTGTCCCTTTAATGGAGCTTTTACAATGACAGAGAGTAAATTCGCAACTTGTCACTGTCACTGTCAGTGTAAACACCCCTATACACACAACCGATGAACACAGATGCACAGAGAAAACCTGCTTTCTGCTTTCAAGCAAAGCCAGTTATGATTTCTGAGATCTCGGACCAAAAAAACACGAACACCACCAGCATTAAAGATGTCATCTACTACTGACCACAGTCATTTGATTAGGGTTGGGTATCGTTTGAATTTGAACGATTCTGATTCCGATTGCGATTCCTTGTTTCGATTCCGGTTCCTAAAGGTTCTCGATTCCGATTCTTTTAAGAGGCAGGGTCAAAAAAGTTTAGCTAACCTTGCTAACCAACGGCCTTTCTGAAGGAAATACTCCTTCTGTAAAAATACTCCTTTTGTCACAAATGTAGCATTTTGCCGAGATTTCGTTATTTTTAGAAAAGTGAAGCCACACTTTGGATCGCCGACGTAAGGTACTCATGTTCGACTCGCGTGGTTATGCCAACACTTCCGGTAGACGCTTCTTCGTTGGTGTTGTTCAGCGGTTTCTTCTTCCGCTCGGCGGACTGTGAATATCGAAACTAGGAATCGAAATTTTAACTTTTGAACGATTCCGGGAAAAACGAAAAGTTAGTCTCGGTTCCAATCGATACTCGATTCTCGATACCCAACCATACATTTGATAGACAGATTTAATGCAGTTAGGTTAAGTGACCTGTGGGGTGGGTGGGGGGGGCTATTAGTCACATACTTGGGAGAGGCATCTGGGGTCACACACCATCAATCATCAATACTATACATCTGAAGTACACAACAGAGTGACATCAACTATTTCACAGTAGATCATGGAAATACTATTGCAATAACACAAAAATTACGACCCTGAAGAGAATGTGAGCTAGTCACTCTGCAAAGTTTCAGGGTTTCAGAGGTCAAAAATGAGCATCAGCGGACGTGAATCTACATTTGCAATAAGCACTTCAAATGGGACAAAGATATCTCAAATATGATTTCCTATAAAGTTGCAATCTGACCCATGACACATTTTTGACCCCTGCAGAGTAATCTGGTTGACCTTGGAGAGCCTGTGGGTGACCTCTGTGTTACCCCCACCCACCGCCTTGGAGAGCAGACCATATAGACGGCCGCGGTCCATCCTCAGCTGCAACACATGCGAAGAGAGAGAGCCGTTAACCTGCTCTTCCACAACACCGCAATCAACTAGATTCACGAAACCCGGTCAGGAATGTTACGGAATCTGGTAAAAGTTGTGTGAATAAATAAAAGTAGTCTCTGTGTGAATGAACGGAGCAGTGACACTCATGGCGTTTCAGCGTCCGCTGTCTCACTACATCAGGACACGAGCACAGCACAAGGAACTTCACCTCCACAGCTGCTCATTTGAGAAAACTATCATCAGACACAAAAGTAGTGCTGGGCGGTATACCGGTAGAAATATCATTTTTGATATCAATAATTACAATGTTACTAGTAAAAATGTGAATTCCTGATATCAATAATTGAATTGTCCCTAGTTGAATTGTCTATTCTTGATATCGACAATTCAATTGCTACAAGTAAAAATGATCAGATATCTAAAATGGCTTTCTTATTAGTAACAATCACATTCATGATATCAGAAATTAAAATTGTCACTAGTAACAATTGAATTCTTGATATCAAAAATAAAGGTTTTTACTAGTAATAATTGTATTTCTGATATGTGAAATTGGAATTTCAACTAGAAAGAAATCAATTCTTGATATCAACAATTACATTTTGTGATAAACAATTGAATTGCTGATATCTGTAATTGTATTTTCACTAGTGAAATTTCACCATAGGCTGCCATTCAAAATGAATTGTTGATATCAAGAATTGATTTTTTACTAGTAGAAATATAATTTTTGAATCAATAATTACATTGTTACTAGTAAAAATGCGAATTCCTGATATCAATAATTAAATTGCCACTAGTTGAAATGTCTATTCTTGATATCAACAATTAAATTGCTACAAGTAAAAATTATCATTTTTGATATCTGAAATTATGCATTTCTGATATCGATATTATTTCAGATATCTAAAATGGCTTTCTTACTAGTAAGAAGAAATTAAAATTGTCACTAGTAAAAATTTAATTATTGATCATCAAAAATGAACATTGTTACTAATAGCAATTCAATAGTGGATATCAAGAATAGACATTTCAACTGGTAACAATTGAATTCTTGATATCAAAAATAAAGGTTTTTACTAGTAATAATTGAACTTCTGGTATGTGAAATTGGAATTTCAACTAGTTTTCAATTTTCAATTACATTTTTTGATATCAACAATTTAATTGCTGATATCTGTAATTGTATTTTCACAAGTGAAATTTCACCATAGGCTGCCATTCAAAATGAATTGTCGATATCAAGAACAAGAACTTGAAAATTTGGAAAAAAAATAAAAACAGAATATCACAGTGCCTCATTAAATGTATGATCTGACGTGAACAGATATCAACAGACCACCACGGTCACCACAAACGGGGTCAGATCTGAGAAACGCACGTCCACATGATAATCCCGGACACTCTAAATGTTAATAATGTATGAGAGCGGCTGGTGCAGGAGGTGTGTGTGATACCTGCTGGCGGAGCTGCCCGCTGGTCCTCTGGGACTCGTGGAGCTGCTGTTCGAGCTCTCTGAGGAGCTGTCTCTGCACACACAGCTGCTCCTGCAGCGTCTGGTTACGGGCCTGAGCCTCCATTAAAGCCTGCTTACACTGAGCCGACTCCACTTCAACCGTCTTGGTCACATACTGCAGGAAGAGTGACAGACAGACACATTAATTCACTTTTATTAGGTGTTCATCAGCCCTGAGTATGAGCCTTCACAGGCTATTTGGAGATAATGTATATATATATATATATATATATATATATATATATATATATATATGCAGTCTGTCTATCTCTTTCAGTATGGTTGATTCTCTAGATGTGGAAACTGGACACGGTACCAACACTTGATGTTTGGCTGAGTGAGTTGTACATAAGAAATTATGATTTATCAATAATGACAAATGATATTTATTCTGGAAAATCCAAAAGTCTCTATCCTGTGAATATTAACACCTCATAGCTATACACTTTAAAAATGAATATGCTTTATCTAATCAATAAAATTGTGGCAACAGATTACAAGCAATATTATTTATTAAATTGAACAAATTAGAATTGAGTAATACTTAATCAAATGAACATTCTAATTTGTACAATTTAATTAATAATATTGCTTGTAATAGGTTGCCACAATTTTATTGATTAGATAAAGCATATTATTTTTTTCAGTGTACAGTATTTTTGTATTAGTTTTGCTTTAAGGATGTAGCATCTATACCCTCACATTACTTTAATTATGGACGTTTGTCTTTGACGCTCTTTACATACTTTGTTTCTAATTCTGTTCATTTTAAATCCACTGTGGGAAAGATGTTCCAGTACACAAGTATGACTCAGTTTATAATATGTATGTGATTATACAGAAACAAAAAAAAAAAATACACATTCAACATGAATAATTGCCTTGTGTTCACTTCTTTAAATAATACACACAATGAAATGCATGAATCAATCATAACAAAATGTGTTGCTGTACATTCACAGTCCGGCATTTAAAAAAAAAAAAAAATGTCTCAAGGTCTCAATGTGACACTATTATTTATTACTTTGAGCATTTGCTAAATAACTCAAACAAACCCATAAAAAGCCTCAGTGATAGAAGTTCAAGCTTACATTTCAATAAAACCCTTTGGCAACACTTTATTTTTGTGTCCTTGTTACATATTTAATATATACTTATTGTAGTAATAACAGTAAATTATGCATAATTACAAGCAACTAACCCTAAAACACACAAGTAAGTCCGTGTAGTTCATTTATATTACTCAGTACTTAACAATAGATAATTACGACACCTTAAAAGAAAGTGTAGCCAACATTCAACATTGTGCTCTGCTATCACACACTCGCCTTGACCTGCAGCGGCTGTGCAGCCTGGAGAGACAGAGCTTCCTCAGCGTCACGAAGCCGAGAGGTCAGCTGATCCTCGCTCTGGCTCCTGTGGCATGACGCCTCTTCCAGCTGCTTCTGGAGCTGCTGTCTGTGGTGCGCGGCCTCCTCCAACTGCTCCTGCAGCTGAACCACGACACCCGTCCTCTCCTGCACCTGCTGCTCCAGCGCGGCCAGCCGCCGCTCTCGCTCGCGACACTCCTCGCCCTTACGACACAGCTCTCCACGCAGGGCCTCCGCATCCTGAGGCCGACACATTACATAACAAAACAGAGTGTGAGAATAAACACGAGGTAGATAGCATATCAAGTAGGGCTGTCACTAATGATTATTTTGGTAATTGGTCATTATTTTGACGAGAAATCTGATATTTTAGTGTGGTAATAAAAATAGACCTAAGAAAACAATAGCCTTAAATTA